CACTACTACAAGATATATATTCTACATCGGTTCTCTAAAGTCATCTACATCGGTTCTAAAACCGATGTAGAATAGAGCGACGTAGAAAATGTATGCATTTTTACATCGGTTCTGAAAAACCGATGTAGATTTAAGCTTAAATCTACATCGGTTCTCCTGAGAACCGATGTAGATTTAAGCATAAATCTACATCGGTTCTCTTGAGAACCGATGTAGATTGCATTTTTTTAAAAAAAAAAAATATGTTTGTTTTTGGATTCTTTTTTTTGTCTATATATAATGGACAAATATTGTCAATCAAGATTAATTTGGCCACCAAATTACAATAACAAAAATCACACAAACAAATTATCAATTTTAATTTATCACATTAAAGATTTCAATCATTTAAAAGAAACTATAAAATCAAGAGCAAAAGAAACTTAATGAAAAGGACATAATGGTGAAGCTTCCTTCCAAAAGATAGGGAACATATAAACTGCTAATTATTTCTACGAAGTAAACAAAATTCAAAACTAAAATGTGTTCTCTTATGAGTCAAACATAACCTGCTCACACTTATAATGATTCATATATAGAATCCAGTGTAAAAGGTTCAAATATATAACCTTCTGACACTAATAAAGTGAATAGTTTGTTACAAAAAATTAAAGACTAAATTAGGATTATGCATAGTTAATAAATGAAAATTGATGGAAGCAAGAGGCAGCAATCCCCACAAGGTGGAAATCCTTGGATAGGATATGATAGTTGCTTTAAGACACCAATTAAGACTTTCAGACTTTGAGATTGGAGAGCACATAGTGTGGACTATGCTTTAGGTACCTTTATTTACGCTTGCTTGTCGCGGCTGATATTCCATATTCCCACTTTTGTTTTGCCTTTTTATTCTTTTGGGACCTTGTGCGAGGGACACAAGGGCACACAGTTTACTTCATGTAAGATATGATGCAACATGCTACCAAGAAAAAAAATCCAGTTTCACTTAGAAATATTTGAATAAAGACTTTCAATTTTCATTCTTTTGTATTCACAAATAAGTAAAAAAAAATGCTTTCACTTTGTTTCCTACTTACAAATATTTGAACAGGATAAATCTTCAAAAACAGCGACAAAGTGGAAACAAAAGAGAATTTTGTAGTTACATTTAAAAACAGAATTAAACAACAAACATTTTTGCAAACTAACATGTAACTTCCTCTGCCATCCTGTTAATTCTTCTTTTTAATTAGAATTACTAGATTATTTTAAGGATAACTACTAACAAACAAAGTGCAACACCACCGCCATCCCCACACAATACACCCCTATCAACTCTTTCTTCCAAAGGATAGTTTGTAAGAATCAAACTACATGTGAGAGTATTGGGAATTTCAGTTAAAAAATGTTGGGCCCATGCACATTCCTCAATCCAAGCTTGTATCCAAAAACATGTAAAAAAATAATATTCAACAAACGAATCACGGTAAAATCAAAATCCCATCATCATACCTTCCCTTCAATATGCATTCCCGTAATGTGAAGTTTTGTCCACATTCCAAAGCCCAGTCTTTTTCTTAGTTTCACAGCAAGTATTGCACTCATATCAGACGTGAGAAAATTCATTCCTAACTCCAGAACCTGCATAGATTACACCATAATATCTAAATTAGACCGAACAAAATGTCATTCACAGATGCAGAATGAGACATTCTCTTGATATGCTGCTTTAAATATCACATACCAAGTGATCATCATCACTCTAGCGAAGAACCCTCATTTCAGTAAACAAAGGTGGATTTCTTCCCAAGTATAGATTCTGAACAGCAGCTTCTTTCTGCAAAATATAGTACAAAGATATCAAACTGATACATCAAAAGTCAAGATATCAATTTTATATTCACAAAAAATGCATCTTTCTTGATAAAAGTTGAATAGAGAATATGAAATTCATATCACATAATTTTCAAGAAAATGGTCAAAATTCATATTATGATCAACCACAATCAAAGACAAATAACCGAACAGTACGAGTCATTCAGCAGTCCAAGGTTTGTATTTCTCTAAGAACCACGGAATGATAGGGAGTAAAATATTCTGAGTGGCAATCTTTTCCATACATATGGGCCATATGTTTTCAACTGCATGGTTCAACCACCGGACTGTTTCAGAATCCGAAAGCACCTAGTACAAAAGAAAAAAGGACATTGCCAGTTATATCAGAAAATCATCATAGAACAATCCTTTGCAATTAGAATATGAGCATGTTTAGATACAAGTCTAGATGAGCTTTTAAGAGCTTCTATACTAAAAAATACTCTTTATTGAGCTCTCAAAAATTTGTTTAAATTGTATCCAAACAGAGCCTATGACATCTCAAATTTAAACTTTCAATGATAAATAAAATATACCTAAATGAACTGATATTAATTTACAAATATATATATATATTCATCTGTGAATGACATTTTGTTCGGTCTAATTTAGATATTATGGTGTAATCTATGCAGGTTCTGGAGTTAGGAATGAATTTTCTCACGTCTGATATGAGTGCAATACTTGCTGTGAAACTAAGAAAAAGACTGGGCTTTGGAATGTGGACAAAACTTCACATTACGGGAATGCATATTGAAGGGAAGGTATGATGATGGGATTTTGATTTTACCGTGATTCGTTTGTTGAATATTATTTTTTTACATGTTTTTGGATACAAGCTTGGATTGAGGAATGTGCATGGGCCCAACATTTTTTAACTGAAATTCCCAATACTCTCACATGTAGTTTGATTCTTACAAACTATCCTTTGGAAGAAAGAGTTGATAGGGGTGTATTGTGTGGGGATGGCGGTGGTGTTGCACTTTGTTTGTTAGTAGTTATCCTTAAAATAATCTAGTAATTCTAATTAAAAAGAAGAATTAACAGGATGGCAGAGGAAGTTACATGTTAGTTTGCAAAAATGTTTGTTGTTTAATTCTGTTTTTAAATGTAACTACAAAATTCTCTTTTGTTTCCACTTTGTCGCTGTTTTTGAAGATTTATCCTGTTCAAATATTTGTAAGTAGGAAACAAAGTGAAAGCATTTTTTTTTACTTATTTGTGAATACAAAAGAATGAAAATTGAAAGTCTTTATTCAAATATTTCTAAGTGAAACTGGATTTTTTTTCTTGGTAGCATGTTGCATCATATCTTACATGAAGTAAACTGTGTGCCCTTGTGTCCCTCGCACAAGGTCCCAAAAGAATAAAAAGGCAAAACAAAAGTGGGAATATGGAATATCAGCCGCGACAAGCAAGCGTAAATAAAGGTACCTAAAGCATAGTCCACACTATGTGCTCTCCAATCTCAAAGTCTGAAAGTCTTAATTGGTGTCTTAAAGCAACTATCATATCCTATCCAAGGATTTCCACCTTGTGGGGATTGCTGCCTCTTGCTTCCATCAATTTTCATTTATTAACTATGCATAATCCTAATTTAGTCTTTAATTTTTTGTAACAAACTATTCACTTTATTAGTGTCAGAAGGTTATATATTTGAACCTTTTACACTGGATTCTATATATGAATCATTATAAGTGTGAGCAGGTTATGTTTGACTCATAAGAGAACACATTTTAGTTTTGAATTTTGTTTACTTCGTAGAAATAATTAGCAGTTTATATGTTCCCTATCTTTTGGAAGGAAGCTTCACCATTATGTCCTTTTCATTAAGTTTCTTTTGCTCTTGATTTTATAGTTTCTTTTAAATGATTGAAATCTTTAATGTGATAAATTAAAATTGATAATTTGTTTGTGTGATTTTTGTTATTGTAATTTGGTGGCCAAATTAATCTTGATTGACAATATTTGTCCATTATATATAGACAAAAAAAAGAATCCAAAAACAAACATATTTTTTTTTTTTAAAAAAATGCAATCTACATCGGTTCTCAAGAGAACCGATGTAGATTTATGCTTAAATCTACATCGGTTCTCAGGAGAACCGATGTAGATTTAAGCTTAAATCTACATCGGTTTTTCAGAACCGATGTAAAAATGCATACATTTTCTACGTCGCTCTATTCTACATCGGTTTTAGAACCGATGTAGATGACTTTAGAGAACCGATGTAGAATATATATCTTGTAGTAGTG